ATCTATCTATCTATCTATCTATCTATCTATCTATCTATCTATCATCTATCTATCTATCTATCCATCTATCTATCTATCTATCTATCTATCTATCTACCTACCAGGTAGTGAGCCGCTCCCGCATGTCTGATCCCGTGTGGCGGTCCAAGGGCCTCAAGTCCCAGCCTCACGATGGATGCGTTCCAAGCCCCGTCGACACTTGTCAGGTGTAATTGGGATGACCAGGTCAGCTTCGTCCACGTCCTGTTTGAGACACTCCAGTATGCACTTTGATAGTTCCATGCGTATCTCAAGTCCTTGAACTGATCCCGTTTTCACTTTCTCTCGCCTTTGGAGCGGTCGCCTAGCAATAACGCCATTCTCCCGCGTCGTTGTCGTCGTCGTCGTCGTCGTCGTCGTCGTCGTCGTCGTCGTCGTCGTCGTCGTCGTCGTCGTTTGCCGGCAGCGAGTAGGGGGGGGAGTTCGAACCCCCCCCGGGAGGGCCTGGGGAGGGGGGGATTCGAAACCACTCGGGGGGGCCCGGGGGAGGGGGGAGGGGGGGGGTCGGACCTCCGTGTTCTTTGGGGTGGGGGAGGGGGGCGGGTGGGGGGAGGAGGTCTCCCCGGTTTCCGACCCCCCCCCTTCAGGTTTTTTTTCGGGGGGGGATCCCCCCCTGGTGCTTTGACCCCCCCGGGGATTTTTCCCAACCCTCCTTGGTTGGGTATTCGTTTTGTAATAGGGGACTGGTCTCCACCTTCCTTCCTCCCGCCTCCCTCCCTCCTCCTGCGTCCTGCTTCCTGCTTTATTTCCAACCCTCCTTGGTTGGGTATTCGTTTTGAATAGAGCACTGCTCGCGCGTCTCCTCCCGCCTCCCTCCTGCCTCCTGCCTGCCTCCTGCCTGCCTCCTCCTGTCTTGCCTGCGGGGGGCTGCGATCTGTGAAACTGTCGCCACTTTCGAGGCCTGCTGGGGGGCCCAGCACAGTGACGCCACACGCAGATTCAAATTTGACCTCGCCATCCCTGGGGGGCTGCGATTTGTGAGACTGTCGCCGCTTTCGAGGTTTGCTGGGGGGCCCAGCACAGTGACGCCACGCGCGGACCCGAATTAGACCTCGCCATCCCTGGGGGGCTGCGATTTGTGAAACTGTCGCCACTTTCGAGGCCTGCTGGGGGGCCCAGCACAGTGACGCCACACGCGGACCCAAATTTGACCTCGCCATCCCTGGGGGGCTGCGATTTGTGAGACTGTCGCCACTTTCGAGGTCTGCTGGGGGGCCCATCACAGTGACGCCACACGCAGATTCAAATTTGACCTCGCCATCCCTGGGGGGGCTGCGATCTGTGAAACTGTCGCCACTTTCGAGGCCTGCTGGGGGGCCCATCACAGTGACGCCACACGCAGATTCAAATTTGACCTCGCCATCCCTGGGGGGGCTGCGATCTGTGAAACTGTCGCCACTTTCGAGGCCTGCTGGGGGGCCCAGCACAGTGACGCCACACGCAGACCCAAATTAGACCTCGCCATCCCTGGGGGGCTGCGATCTGTGAGACTGTCGCCACTTTCGAGGCCTGCTGGGGGGCCCAGCACAGTGACGCGCTACGCGGATCCACAATAGACCTCCGTATCCTTGGGCCGGAGGGGCTGCGGGTCAGGAGGAGGCGGCGGAGTCGGAGGAGGAGGAGGAGGAGGCGAATGAGGAGCAGGACGTTCGCCGCTTGCCTGGGACATCGTCGGCGTCGTCGCCGCCGTCGTCGATGGCAGCGACGGCGGCGACGACGCTGCTAGGGGTGCTCAGGGATTGTAACTAATCAACTCTATCTAGTCCTTGTCCTATAGCCAGTGTCCTGCAAGTCTCCCGAATTCCGTCCGCAGACATATGTAACCCTCGCTCCGTCATCGCCCCCCTTATAAAGTGTCCTAAACTATTTGCGCCCCGCGTTTGCGCAGGGGTTGGGTACGTCTCCAGGGTAATTGTTCAGCACAGCCGTGGTGGATCGCGCTCCCTCGTAGATCTCGCAGCGGGTCCCGCTGATGATCTGCTCGATTCGCCCCAGGGCATGTAGGGCATTTGGACGTCATAGTCCCGATGTGAAATGACTTTGAACTGGCAGCTGACCTCTGATGTACAAGTGCCCGAACAGTACCAGGAGCCAGCAGCTGAAAGGCACCGAGCCAGACGCTATAAGGAAATCGTCCCACCCACTCGCAGTCGGCCTGCTTCTCCTGAACCCCTGGAAGACGGAGCTGCGCGGACGAGCGCCCTTAGCGTCGGCTTGGCAAGGTGGCGCCGCAAACCACCCTGCCGCAACCTATTCGTCCGCACTGCCACGAGCACCTGAGTCCCCCGTCCCTGAGAAATGATTTGTGATCGCTGCCTTCCGCTTGCGATTCTCCGCCACTTCGTCGTTTGCGGCCAGAAAGTCGGGCCCCCCCTGATTGCTCAGATCTAGGTACTGCTCGGCGTAGGACCAGTTGACCTTGCTCTTCCACTTGGCCCTGTTCGAGGACTTTGGGCGGCCCCAGTCCGACTCCACTTCGGCCGCCTCGCAGGCCTTGAATATCGAATAGAGCCGAAGGCACGTCGCCACAAGTCGTCACCCTGTCCAAGACGGCACCAAGCATATAGACCTCCGAGGCGATTTAGCTTTTCTGTAACTCCTTGCTCCGCAGCCACCCCTCCAGCTCGAACCTCGCACGCCTCCCGCCCTTGTAGAGTCGCGCCAGCACCGACGCTGCCACACGCGTACGTCTGCCACCTACTCGGAATCCTGCGACATCACGATATGACTTCAACTAGTAAATAGACCATCGGTAGGATTGTATGATTCCACCTCTAGCTGGGCTAGAGTCTCCTGAACATCTGAACCTCCAGGCGACGAAACCTTCTCCAAACTAGTGGGTGTAGTACATCCGCCCGACGCTGTAATACCCTTCGTCGCCGCGCTCGAGTCGGCCTGCACAACCTCCTCGTGCTCCTGCATCTTCTTGATGAGGTCGTCCAGCTGAGTCCGCGTGGGGCGTCTCTGGTCGTCGTCACCGTCACTATCGAAGTTGAGCGTGTGCTTCACCTTCTCAGCCCCGTCGTCCTTCACCTTAGAGGTCGCGCTCGAGCCCTTGTCGTTTACCATGTCGGTCAGGTTCGCCGCCGTAGCCTGGAATAGGTGCTGGCCACGAGCCAGCTCGGCGAAGAGGTGCCTCGAGTCGGGCTCGTCGTCTGAGTCTGCCACTGACGTCCCCAGGACCACCTCCTCGTCTGACCCCTCACTCCCTGAGTCGCTGTCGGCTCCAGGCACCCGTTACCAAGACGACGACCAGGCCCAGTAGACGAGATACAAACTTGCACCCCCACAGCCTGCCACCTGCCATCGGCAATATGCTCGCCAGCTTGCCACTGTCGTAAATTTCCTCGGCCACCTCGGAACACAGAAGTGCTTCCTCAGCTGCTTCTACCGCTGCGATCGCCGACTCGTAGGCTGACTTCAAAATCGAGCCCAACCCAAGGACTTCCAGACCCGCCAACTGATGAACCCGAGAGCTAGTGTCCCACTTCCCGGGCGACGCAGCCAGACGTAGCTCTCCATGTTCATGGCCGCGCTGCAAAGCCAGTTGAACATGTTGTCCTTTTTGCTATGCTTCTTGGTCTTCTTCCCCTTCTGGGCCTTCTCGGTCTTCGCGTTCTCTGCCTCGAGCTCTCGACGTGCAGTGAGACTTCTTGAAGCTGCCAACACACGATCTCGACTGCCTGCACTCAAACCTCGATGTTCGGAACACGTCAGCTCCTTCCGTGGTTTCGTGCATGTATTGTTGTCCTTGCCACGGGCTTGCAACCACCTGGACTCGTAACGTCGGCTCGCATGCTGTCGACAAGGTACTGTTTGCCCAACCGATCCGAGAGACTAGCAGCAATACGACCCCGCTCTTGGAGTTCGTCCTGTAATGGATGCGATTCTACCGCGCCCTCGGCGCCATCACGGCTGAGGTCTTGGACCCCGACTCGTCTGTCTCACCTACGTCCTCGCAGTCGATTGGGCGTTCCTCCTCGAACGAACAGAGCTCTTGCGCCTGAGCAGCCCAAAATGGGCGGCCATCGTCTGCCATATCACCCGCGTGCCAACCCAGCACGACTGCTACTGCGTACCACCACAGCTACGTCTCGGCGACACGAAGGCTGGGTTAAATCTGACCCGTGCAGTGCTGCACACCATGAGGCGTGTACGTCTTCGCTGGAACCCCCTCGAGCCGAAGCTTGAGCGGCGGCAGAGCCGTACAGAGAGAGAGAGAGAGAGAGAGAGAGAGAGATAGAGAGGAGCGGCACAGAGAGGGGGTACTAGTAGTGTCAAAGTGCGATCAATAGCGTGTACACGGAGGGATGGTGAGAGGGTTGGATGGATGGACGGGTGGATGGGAGTGAGGTGGGTGGGTGGGTGGGAGGAGCAGAGGGAGAGAAGGATAATTACGAGGAGTGGATGCAGGGAGGGAGGGGCGGCGGGAACAACGGGAAGCGGTAGAGTGGGAGGTGCTGGCCCGAGTGGTGTTGGCCGCCTCCTTCTTCTTCTTCTCCCTCCTCTTTTCCTCCTCCTCCTTCTCCTCCTCCTCCTCACCTATCTTGGCGGGAGAAAAGGGGGGAGAGTGGCAAGGAGGAGATGCGAGAGGAGAGTAGAGAGGATGGAGGCTGGAAGAAGGGTTGGGAGGATGGGTGGGTATGTGGGATGGGATGGAGAGTGAGCAGAGGGCATGATAAGGCGGGAGAGGAAAAGAGGCAGGGAGGGAAGGGAAGGGAGGCCAGTGGAGGGAGAGGGATGGTGAGGGAATCGAGGATTGAGGGGAGCCCCCAGAGGTCACGGGTATCCAGAGGTCCCTGGAGGCCTCGGGAGGTCCCCAGAGGCCTCCTGGGACCTCAGCGGCCCAAACGCTGCCAGATACGTCCGAACGCCTCGATCCTCTGACCTCCTCCTCCCAAAGGGGTGGCCGTGCCTCCCTTCAACTCCCCCTGGCCCCTCCGCGCCCGCCGTGCCCCCAGGCGAAGTGGCCGAGGGGCGTGCCCGACTCCTGCTCGAGGGCCATGTCGTGGTTGAAGGAGCCTTCTCCCCCTCCCTCTCTCTGTCTTTTCCTACTCCTCTCCTCATCCCTCTCCTCTTCCTCGCCTCCCTCTCTCTTTCTCGGTATCTCCCTCTGCTTATCTCTTTCTGCATCCTCTTCCTCTCGCTTCCCTTCCCGGTCAGTCTCTCTGTCTTCGCTGTCCTTGTCTCCTGTCTGCGACCGTCGTTCTCTTCCTCTGTCGCTGTCTCCGTTCTCTCTCTCTCTCTCTCTCTCTCTCTAGTCTATATACTGTAATTCGGACTCTGCCATTAACTCTTGGATTCCTGGCCCGCTGCCTTGCTCTCCCTCCCCCCCTTTTTTTTGTTTCTCTCTCTCTCTCTCTTGTCTATATGTCTCCTTAGCCTTCTGGCTTCTAGCAGGTTGCGCCTCTTTCTGCGCAGGTGGGGTTTCCCCCTGAACCCATCATGGTGGCCCTGCTGGCACGCAGCTTTGTCCCAGCCTTCGCGGCCCTCGCCACTCTTGGAGCGAGGTCTTACCAAGGTCTGGCGCTCCCGAAGGTTTCCACACGTGGAGGCCCACGGGAGGGGGGTGCGGAATCGGGACGTGGCGGGAAAGGAGGGCCTCACGCCCTGCCCGGCCCCCATCGTGCTCCAGCTCGGATGTAGCTTGCGCCCCCTCTAAAAAAAACCCTACATGCCATGCGGAGCAGGCGTTCGGGGAAGGGCGGTTGACGTCGAGAAGAAGGTGGAGGAATGAGCCTTCTCGACGGACCAGATCTGCTGGGGGGGCACGTCAACCCGGAGCAGGAAACGTTCCGCCTCCCGGAGGAGAAGGTCCGGAAGATCAGGATCATCTTCGGAGAGCCCACGTGCGACGTGCGGAACGCGCGGGTGGCGCTATGGGATGTCCAGGTCTTCCGCGGGACGCCCAACTTCGCCGAGATAGCCTGCCCCCCCCTCTGTCCAGGACTCGTTGCAGTTGATCGCCTCCTCCAGGCGGCGGGCCCATCCCATGCCTCGGTGGAAATCCAGGCGGGCACCATGAGACGGACCGGATCTTGGAGGAATGGTGGAAGGCCATCGAGCCCTTCAGGCTGTGTGTGCTCGGAGGTGCCGCAGGCTTGGGCCGCGCACTTCGGCGCGGGTTTAAATTCGGTCTTCCATCCACGGGGGAGAGTGGCCCTCCCAGGAGGGTTGGGCGAGCTCGATTGGACCAGAGGGGATCGCATGGAAACCCGGGTGGGGGCGGCCGACTGGATGGTGAGCGTCTACGGAGCCATGGGCGCCCAGGAGATCATGCAGCCGTTTAAGGAGGCATTCGAGGAAGGGGCGGACATCGTCGCGATCTGCGAGCTCTTCATTTTCTTGGTGTTCGCCGTGGCAAGAAGCCCCAATTGGGCGGGAAGTCTGGTTCTCTTCAACAAAACCAATGCCGAGGCCGGGCTCTTCAAGAAAGTGGCCAAGAACCGCCTGGCCCGCCGCGAGAAGGAATGGCGGAGCCTCGTGGTCGAGCCCCACCACAGCTGGGCGCGCGCCCGCGTCGACGAGCGGATCGCGGCCAAGGACGAGCAGATCGCTGAGCTCGAGGCGCAGATTGAGGAGCTCAACCGCCGCGCGGAGGCACGCGCTGCCGCCGATGGCGCGGCGCCCAAGGGGGGCAACAGGGCCGCCGAGGGCGGCGCCAGCCAGAAGGGCAAGGGCGGCAAGACCACCGCGGGATGGGGGAACCGATGCATCAAGCTCATCTTGGCAATCTGGGCCTACGAGTGGGGCAATCGCATGGCCCTCTGCCAACGAGTGGGCCGATATCAACTGGTTTCGGCCAATCATCGAGATGCGGGAGCAGCAGGCCTGCGAGATTGCGCATCGCAAGGATGACGATGATGCGACTGTTGATGATGACGATCAGTGCTGAGAGGACGACGGGTGCGACTGATAGTCCCGCCGCCTAGCAGCGTTATTGGATAAGCGACGCCGGCGCGCTGCGCTAGGTTGGGCGGGAGTGGGGTGCGACGACGACGACGACGACAGCGATGACTAGGGTTGAGGGGGGCGTAGATGCGCGCGGGCTGCCGAGTTACTTCCAGCGTGTATAGTTGAATAGTCGGCGGCGCAATGCGCAGCGCGCCGGCGCGCAGGGTGGCTCTGATTCCCCGGGCGATTGGGGCCCGGGCTGCCGAGGCGGAGGGTCGGGCGCCGGCGCCCCGGCCTCTCCGGCGCGGGCGGTTCCGGCCCCCCCCCCCCCCCCTAAATGCTGGCAACGCAAGGCCCCCGCGGCGAGGAGGCGCGCGGGCCGCAGGTCATTGATGCGCCGCCCTTACAGCCCAACCCCGCCCCAGACCGCCAGCCCCTCGCCCACGCTTGCGAAGGGGTCTTCCGGCGCGGCCTCCAGGGGGAGGGGGGCCGCGGCGAGCGGGAGGAGGGCTCGCCGCAGTGAACGGCCGAGCTGCTCCAACACCCCCCCAAGTCTCCCCCGCCCTTCCAATCGACCGGCAGGCAGGCCCAGGCGCGCCGGCCCCCGCGGAACAAGGCGCGCACCGTTCTCCCAGCCGTGACCCGGCCTGGGCCGACCGTTCCGCACCGCGCGTGGATATTGTCAGGCCCCGCGTCGACCAGCGTGTCGGCGAAGTGCCGGCCCTCGTTCGTCGTCGTCTTGTAGAACAAGAAAAAGCTGCTTCGAGTTGATGCCGTTTCTCGGCTCCCGTCGATGCGCGCTGTAGCCTGACGGGTCCGAACTGGCCATCCAGTGGGTGCCTGGCAGCTTCTCCAGCATATGGCATATATCTGGGTCCTGGTACTCCACGGCCGCGAGGACAGCCTCGTTCCAGATGCTGACTGCCATGGCGTCGCAGAAACGGATGTCGAACTGCCCGCGCGCAGACTCCATCATGCCAAACTCGGTCTTCGCTGTCTTCATGTGCGGGGGGGTGTGGATCTGGCGGGCGCGGCGCCGCCGCCCTCGCGCTGATGTGAGGCGCCGCGGGCGCCTCCGTGGGCCATTGCTGAGACGGCCGCAACGGGTGCGCCAGCGGGCTGGCACTTCTCGCCGCGGCACTTGCGGGTATGCCCAGGCTCGAGGCTCGCGACTCGCGCGCGCGCCGCTCGAGGCGGTCGATCGAGCCCAAAACGGCTATGTAGGATGAGAAGGTGCACCATGCCCTCGGGGCGCGCGTGGTCTTGCACCTCTGAGCTGAACGCCACCAGCCCTCTGGGCGTATGTGGTCTCGCAGGCCCCACAAGCCCAACAGGGCTAATGCGAATGCTACATGCTAGATGCGATGACGTGCCATGCTATGATAGCGCTCTTCCTGATGTTAAGGATCTGATACGCTATGCCATGATACGCTATGTCATGCAAATGCTATGCGGTGCAGTCTACACAGTGCAGTCGATGTCTCCCTGAGGGTGCCATGAACACAAGCCTTCCATGACGTGAGGGGCTCGAGCACTTTGTTGCGGAATCAGTTGCCCGCTGTTTCAGTGCGTGTGGCCTTCGGGCACTCTGGGCCACGTGCTACAGCTCGCGCCCGCCGTGCTATCGATGCGGGGAGCTTTGGGCCAGAGCTTTTCGGACCAGCGTTCTCCGGGGCCCTTTCGGGCCCCTCTCGGAAACTGGTTGGGGCCCTCTTTGGCCCTCTTGGGGCCCTCTTGGGGTATTCGGCAACGCTCCGAGGAGCTCTGGTCCAGATCTCTGCGGACAAGAGCTCTTGGGGGCCGTCTCGGGGCCCTCTTGGAAACTTATTGGGGTCCTCTTGCTGTGGCCTTCTTGGGGCCCTCTTCAGACACGTGCGACATGTTCCTTCGATTGGCCGATCGTTTTTTTCGCATGCCCTCCGTGCTCGATCTTATATGACTTGTATCCTACACTTGGGGCGCCACCCCGCCCCATCCGCGTCCCCGCCCGTCGACGTCTCGATGCTCAGACAGAAAGGGCGGGCATGCCGAGGGCGAGCTCGATGGGGAAGACGGCGAGTTCGAGATTGAGGACTCAACGGGCTCAACGGGGAGGGCCGAGAAGAATTGGGCCAGGGGCGACGAGGACGTGGGCGGTGCCGAGGGCGAGCGGGGGCACGCTCTCACAGCCGACGGCGTGAACCGCGCGACCGTCATGGCGATGACGACGACGACGACGGGAGGTGGTGGTGAGATATCGCGATGGCGATGGTGGCGATTTGCGTTGGTGGCTGTGTCATGCCCTCGCCGCCGACGCGCTCCAACGCACTTCAACGCAAGGCGCCCCCCGCGCGGCGGATGTCCATGTGTCGGGCATTCGCCTGTGGATGCGCCCCCCCCCAGTGCGCTGGAAGCTTGGGTGGTATGCGCGTCGCCAACGCGGATCGCGTGTCACCGGCGCCATTTGCGCTGCGAGGGCCAGCGCCATGTGCGCTATCATGACTCGATGCCTCAGCTAAGGCAGCCGCCGCGTCCTGGGGCGTGGCAAAGAGCTTGCGCTTCTCGGTGCCGCCGCTCATGATGTGGAACTTCCCGTTCTGCTTCCTCGCGCCCATCGGCAACGAAGGGCCCCGCTCAGCGGCGGGCTCGCCCCGCGCGGACGCGACCATGGCGTCCCTGACAGCGCGGAGCATGTCGCAGTTGACGCTCAATTGGTCGCGCGGGTGCGCGCAGCGCAGCGCGGCGACGTCCTTATCGCCGACCTCGATGGTGATGGTGTCGGGATGGCCGCGCATGGCGCGGGCTCGGCTGTGGCTGACGCGGGGCGAGGCCTTGTCCTTCTCGGGCTTCCCTGAGCCTGGCGGTGCCCTGGCCTTTTCGGGCGTGACAGCGGGGAACAGCTGGCGCCGCGGCGCGCCGTCGGCAAGCAACGATGAATCTTGCGCAACGTTCCGCTTCTTGATGAGGGCCCGCAAACCAATGCTGCTGGAAACTGCCAGCGAGCCCTCTGGTGGGTCGTCGTGCGTGCTGAGCGTGCGCGCGGCGCGTTCCAGGCTTCGGTTCGCGGAGTTGAGCTTCGCGAGCATCGTTCCGCCGCTCATTATTGTCACGTCATGGCTGTGGAACTTCGCTGTGGGTGTCTTGCCG